TCATCGATGGTAGACCACCACAGATCATGGTCCCATCGTCACTTATCTCTTCCTTTATCTCCAAAAAGTTATAAGCGTGCATAGCTAACAACCATCGTCCCTTATCCCTCTCTAATAAAATTTACGTGCATGATTAAAGAATTGAAAAAGTACATCTGTATGTGTTTCCTTTATAGTTCTGAAAATGATAAAAAAGCAGAAAATGGCCCATAAGAAGAAAAATGAAACTCTTCGTCTTATCTCTAATCGCCAACACTCTCACTGAAGAAAACCCAGCAAACGTAGTCTCAAGTTTGTTTGTCATACAACAAAGATCTATCTCTCTTTAAAAAAATTCATGTGCGTGACTAAAGCCCTGGAAAACTAAATTTGTGTATGTTTCTTCTAGAGTTCAAGAGCTTGGAAAACAATAAAGAAGCGGAGAACGACCCAAAGGGAAAAAACTCCTCGCACTCGCTCCAATCACCAACACTCTTCCCATAAAAAAAGTTAGCAAACGTACTCTCACGTGTCATGCAAGGAAGATCTGTCACTCTACTTCTAGCCAAGAATCATAGCCTCACTGTTCCTTATTCTTCTTTCTATCTCCTACAAACTATGAGTGTGCCTAGCTAAAACCTACATTCCCTTATCCCCCCCTCTCTCTCTCTTTTATTTTTTTTGCATGCTTGAAGAATTAAAAATATATTTTTTTGTGTTTCTTCTAGAGATCAAGAGTTTAGAAAATGATAAAGAAGAAGAGAACGACCGACAAGAAGAAAAAATAAATTTCTCGCCCTCACTCCAATCGCCCACCCTCACCCAAAAACACTCAACAAATGTACTCTTAAGTTCGTTCGTCATGAAACGGAGATCTATCTCTCTATTTTTAGCTGCTACCCTTACAAAATTGGTTCCGAAGCACCAGATATTTGATAACCCTTAAGAGACAAAAGGTGATAATTGATAATCGAATATCTGGTGTTACCCTGTGAGGCTATGATAATCGATTATTCTATCTCAAAGTTTAGAAGTTCCAGATATTCGATTACACTCAACATGGAAAAAGTACCAAAATAAGAGTTTCATGTTTTTAATTCCAAAATATAAGTTACAACATGATTAATGTCAATATATGATGCTAAAAAATTTATGCAATACTAATGTACACTACTAAATAATACTAAAAAAATACTATTCAATTCATTTCTAAAAATTCAAACAAATGAACTGAAGTGTAACTTATTTTAATGAAAAATATATTCCACTGATACTAGTTTCTAACTTCTTTTAATTTTTTCTAATTCATTCAAACTTCTTTCCATTATTCTTAATTACTTCTAGTCTCTTTCAGCTCTCTCACTGGTCAGATGACACCTTACGGTGACATCTTATGGTGAGAGTTTCATTATTCTTACTCTAGTCAGATGATACGTTACGGTGAGATGACATGTTTCGGTGAGATGACGTCAAGCTCACCACACTACACTACAAAGCTCACCAATATAATGGACAGTGCAAAGCTCACCTGAAAATAAAGCAAAGCTCACCACTTTGAACACCAAGACTCGCCTTTTTTTAAATTTTGAAAATTAAAAATAAAATAGCAACATCGGTCAACCACCGGTCAGTAGCGGCAGCAGGCGGCGGAGCAGTAGTGGCGGTCAAAGGTGGCGGTCAACTGTCAAAATCTAGTCATCAACACCCCTTCATTTGATTTTATTTCTTTAAAAAAAATTCAAAGTATTGAAAAAATATGGTGAGCTTAGCCTTATAGTTTGGTGCGCTTTATAGTTGTCCTTCACGAGCTTTGAAGTGGCTTGAGCTTTGCGTCATCTGACCGTAGCAGGTCATCTCACCGTAAGGTGTCATCTGACTGTAGTCAATCCTATATATGTGTGTGTGTGTTGGTTCAAATGAGAATGGTGGATAGTGAAGGAAAATGAGAATGCATATGAATCATTAGATTTAATATCTAAGGATTGTGAAAAATTAAAAGTTTTGTAAAAAGGTTGAAAAAATGTGGTGGCAATTTTGTAAATAAATTAAAATTTCCAAAAATGCACTACTACAAGCAAAAAATGGATCACTACAGTTTGAAAATGCATCATTATCTTATTCTCATTGTAGGATATTCTCACATGAACCGTCCCTTATTTTATATGTTCTGGTTAGAATGCGATCTTAGGAGAGAAATGAAAATAAATCTTGTGCTCTAGATTGTGAGATCTAAGGGCCGGGTCAGTATTGCATCAAAATTAGATGCACAAAAATGGTTTGAAAATGCATCACGTCGAAATGCATCAAAATCCTTTGAAAATGCACATATCTCAAAATTTGAGTGCATGATGCAATCTGAGCCGCACGATGCATCAGATATAACGGCTAGATTTTATTTTCATTTATCTCCACAAGGTGCATTCTCACGCGAACCGGCCTATATATATATATATGTATGTGTGTATATATATATATATATATATATAATACCTGTATACAACCTTGATCCCACCCCCCAAATTTTATTAATTATTAGTTTGCGTTTAAACAATAAAAAAATTTATGACAACTTTTGTGTATTTGTACATTTTTATTGATTATTTTAATAAAATTAAATATTTTTATTATCTTTTGTTTTGTTAAACATTTGGCGTAATTTCTCAATATGTAAATTCTATTTTTTTATTTTCTATACCGATATTTAAATAAAATAGATTAAGAAATTAGAAATTTCTTAACTATAATGTAAAGTACAAAAATATTTTAGAACAGAGTAAAATTAAATTGTAAAATTAAGAGTTTTTTTCGGTCCCGTCTTGTGCTTTGAATTTTCAGACGACCCTCAAGGTGAATCACCACCTACGACTCCAAATTTGCAAGGGTCCCAAAGTTTTAAAGTTTCATTCATACATAGACGTAAAACGCGTCTATTTTTGGCTGCCCTTTATCTAAAAAAAGAAACTTTTTTAGACAAATTTTTTAAAATTTGATTATATATTATATTAAAAAATATAATAAATTGTTATACAAAATCAATATAGATAGATTTCTTTTGAAGCATATAGTTTTGAAATATTATATTTTTAGGATTAAATTTATTTATATTCATTGTAAAATATAACTTTTATTTTTTGTCGTAATTTTCTTAAAATTATCCTTACGAATTTTTTATTTAAAAGAAATTGTTCTTAAACGTAATTAGCACTTCTAACTAGTTGAGATAACATATTTACTTCATACTCAATATCATATTCTTACATTTCTAATTACCTCTGATACAATTCTTATGCCCTATCATCATATTACATCTTCGGTTCTCAAATTTCTTTTTAATATAATACGATGAAAAAAGTCAAATGTAATTCGATGAAGGACACAATTTAAGACATTGGAATTGTATTTGAGATCGTTAGAAATGCAAGACTAGAATGTTGACTACGAAAAAAATGTGTCTTATCAACTAATTAGATGTGCTTAATTACTACGTTTAAAGATTACTTTTAAAATGAAAAAAATTATAAGGATGACTTAAACAAATTTTTTTATAGAGACAAAAAATAAAAGTTGCTTATTTTATAGAGACTAAAAACATATTTAACTAATGTACATGTGCTTATCCAAGTCAAATTGTTTCGTGGACCTAAATTGATCCGGACCTTAGTGCAATTGTAGTATAAAAGAAGTGAGTTTTTTCAAAAAAGAAAAATATCACATGTAGGCTTTGTTTGAGAAGAGCATTTTCAATTAGCGTTAGCGTTTTGGATACAATATTAACGGTGTAGATTAATTCAGAAAACGCTAACGATAAAAGCTACCATCGGATAGCTTTTTCAAAACGCTAACGCTAATTTCTAACGCTGATGCCAAACAGGACCGTAAACCCATTAAAAATATGAAAATGTCTACATTTTAAATGTGTAACTTGAGACCATATAAGCAACACTCTTGTAAAAATATCTAAATATACATATAGATATTAATGGTCAACTAGAGATCTTAAAGATTTACGGAGTAATAAAAAGGAAATTTAAGGACGGATAGATTAACAAAACTACAAAAGGAATGAGAAAAGGAAAGCCGGAAAGACTTGTTCCACTAACCATAGTGGCACCAAATCCACCACTATTTTTTATTACGGAGTATTTTTTTACACTTAATTGAATTCAAATATTCCCTATTGGATAGCCCCTACAAAATGAATTAAAGATATTTAGGTAAATTTTACTTTTTTGAACTCTCTTTAAAAATCATGAAAAATTAAAACAAGAAAATCTTAGAAGAACGAAATGAGTTTAAAGGTTGACTTACTAAAAGTAATTAGAGTAAATTTCCAAAACCATCCTTTGTAATAATGTATTTTCCTAAATTAGTTCTGAATAAGCAATAATTACGAATGCGACTATTAAATGACAGTTAAATAAAGATATTTTTTTGTTTTCTATGATCTAAATTATGAATAAGTCCACAAAATATTCTTTTTAAATTAAGTGGGTGACTGCTAGAGGAGCGAACCCAACCTGAGATAGCTCTGGGTTCCATTTCATGAACACATATACTTAGAAATTATCAATTTAGAAAAAAAGTTAATTATAAATGAGCATTTCAAGAACATACTTTAATTTAAATGATTAAAAAATACCAAGATACCTTCTATTTTACTGGCATTTAATAGATATTTTCGACAGATGACCATTTAGAGAATAGATCTAAATTATAAAGGACCACATTAGTAATTATTACATATTGAGGACTAAATTGAAAAAATATCGTATTAGAAAGGACTGTTTTGGAAATTCACTCAAGTAATTAATAATAGTGAATGTGTGTTTGTATAGGTGGGATAGAGTTTTGCTTAGTCGCCATTCCATCTTATTCATAAGAATTGGAAGTATTTCAACCTTTAATGGAGTAAATCCTTATTTTCAACAAAAATCACAAGTCAAATAAACTTAACATACAAATACGTACTACAAAAGGAAAAAAAAAAGCAATCTTATGGAGTAGAGAATGAAGAAGCCAACCTGGGGAATGTGTTGTTTTTCACAGCCTTCTGACCATATTTCCTCCATCTATAACCATCGTCAAGAATATCAACTTGGCTCCTTGTTTGGAAAGCATATCTCGCCTTCTTTTTGTTCTTCTTCTCATCGGCCGATTCCTCCTCCCCGCCTTTCGCCTCCCCTTTAGGAACTTCTACGCTATAAGGCGGAGGAGAAGGTGAAGAAGACAAAGAACGTAGTGGAAACGACGAAGACGACGACGTTGCTAGATATGCCTCCATGATGGAATAATATATGTTATGGAAGAAGGTCGGAGAGGAAGAATATATAAGAACGTGTGGCCCTTTATACACTCCTTCAATTCTCATGAGTTTGAATTTCAAAAAACTATTGAAAACTCAAAGTTATTTACTGAAAAGTGCATGGTTGAAATACGGTGTTATAGTGTACAAAAATGGGGACTCAAAGTTCTTTTGAACATACAAAAATAATCATCAAGATAGATTTTTGATTTATAATTAAATACTCCCTCCGTCCCTAAATAAACTTTTTCTTTCGTTTTTTCTTTGTCCCCAAATAAACTTCTCTTTTTCCTTAAAAAACCCCTTTTACCCCTTGCTTTTTCATACCCTACCTATCACATCATACCTTTTTACTAATAATCTACATATCACATCTTACTTTTACACATCACATCAAGGGTATTTTTGGAAAGTCAATACAAAAATATCCCTCCCTTAAATCCTCAAAAAGTCAAAAAGGGAAGTTTATTTAGGGACGGAGGGAGTAAAAGATGTTATGGGATGCCCCGAAGGTGCTCCGGTGCCTCGTACGTTCGTAAAATTGACGATTCCTACGGTCCTACCCCCGATAAACCCCTCCACCCCGTTTCGACCCGAACATGCCCCCCATCCCCTTCAATTGCACCTCTGCAAAAACCTCAATACTTTAAAAATATTTTACCAGATAAATGTAATCAGATTATTCTTGTATCAAAATACGGAGTACAAACTTTGATTATACTCCGTAATATATACGGTTTCGTTATTTTTTTGAATTCAAATTCAAATATGAATACAAGAGAAATTTTAAATTAATTTCGGATTCATATTCCATTAATATTTGAATAGTAAGAATTTTATTTAAATGAATAGTCGAATAGACATGGTTTAATAATTGAGAAACCAAAGGTAACATCGATTTTGAATCTTAATTACTAGTGAGCAACCATACCTACTTCCAACATTATGTTGCAATAAAAAACACAATTAAAAATACCCTATTCTACCTTTTAAAAAAACCCTCTTTTAGAGAGAATCATCACGCTGTGCATTTTTAAATCAGGAAACGGCACTGCAAAAAAAAAAAAACTCATTGTATTGTCAAAAAACTACTCCCTCCGTCCTTGAGTATTTATCCAGTTTTGACTTTCTTCAGTCAACTGTTTTCATTATTTGAGCTATAATTAAATAAAATATATATTATATATTGATTAAATAAAATAATATTTTGAAAATGTTTGATATAACAAATCTAATAAAACTATTTTTGTATCAATATATAATATAATTTTCATTTAATTTGAAGTTAAAGTTTACCAATTTTGACCAAAAAAAGTTAAAAATGGATAAATACTCAGGGACGGAGGGAGTATCTAATAAGAGTGCACCATTATATATTTAAGCTCTATTTTAATATTTTAAAATTTTGTTTTTCAAAAAATTACGGAGTATTTTTAAAACTTTGAAAAAAAGAAAATCAGTTCACCCTTTACCAACAATTTACTTCAAATTAAATAATTCCACATTTTTCAAGATTTGAAAAAAAAAGATTCATCCACTTTTACCCATTAGGAAATTAAAGTCATGTTCTCTTCAACTTATTCTTATTACTTATTAATTTTTTTATTGGAATCGCATCGGACTAGATCAGATCAAATAAGAATAGATCAGAAACTACTTTAAATATAATTTTGTTCATATCAGATCAGATTAGAACTTATTCCAAACTAATCAGAACCTAAAAATAGCCCAAAACACGCAAGTATAAGTTCAGATTCGCTCATTTGAGACTACAATGTAAATTAAGTACATATTTCTGGTAAACTATAAAAAAATGAGATTATTTGACCGTGATAATATTGGGTGAAAAAGACTTGGCATGGTGAAAAGTATGCTACGACCAAATTACTTACAATTGGTCGGTCAAAGAAGGTGGACAAATCTGGTGCACCCGGCTGCTGTTGCCTGACCACTTTGAATTTTTTTTTTGGCGAAGTGGTTTTCCATTTCACTCTCAATTTTCCTTTCTTCCTAACCCTATCCCCCACAAACCCCTTCCCCCTACATATGTCCCCACCCCATTGCCCCAACCCCTCAAAACGTCAGTATTTCACCATTTTGAAGAGGGGCAGGAAGTGATGGGGCGGAGGCACGAGGTGTTTAGAGAGAATTTGGGATAAAAACTATCAATTTTTTAATCGAGACACTTTAAGTGATACTCTTCCAAAAAATTATGTCATTGTTGTGTAAAATAAATTAAAATATTTAGAACGATGAATTGTTGTGTGAAATAAGATAAAATATTAATGGCATGTCTTGTTTTGTAAAATAAAATGAAATGTTTAGAACGACGTAAAATTTGTAAAAAAAACCCATTTTAAAAATTATTAGATTTCACACGGTGTTCAAGATAATTAAGAAATGATTTTTAGGAGGAATTGAAGTACTTGGTTTTTTAAAATTAATATCACAAATTTTTTCACACAAATTGATTTACAAAAATCATAACAAAAGCAGTCAACAAAAAGGAAAGGGAGAGCGCTTTAAAAATTTAAAACTGGAACACGTTTTCCACAAACAAATTAGACACTCCTTTTTCCCACGTAGTCATATGTGGCTGAAGGAGACGGACGCCAGAACCATCGAATATATATATTTTCTACAGTTGAGATTCATGCAACAAGAAATTAGTCTTCTTAAAGTATACTCCGTAAAATTAATCAAATATGCGCGTTTTTATTATTGACCGGGAGTTTGATTTAATTTTAATTAAAGATTTGTGTGAATTGTGTCTTATAGCTAACCGATAATTGATTTTTTTTATTGGTGTTAGAGATAGAAGAAACAAGCAGCCAAGCAGGATGGAAGAAGGAAAATGTTAGAGACAGAAGAAGGAAGCGAGATTGAAGAAGGAAACTGAATCCCTTTGGGATTAGGTTTAGTATCTTTCCTAGTTGGATTATGTTTAGTATTTAGTATCTTTCATAGTTTGTTTAATTCTTATTTTAATAGGAATGGGAATTTCCTTGTTTACTTTACCCTCTTCCTATATAAAGAGGGTTAGATCTTTGTATTCAAGACCAGAGTTTCATAAACCAATTCAATATACTGAGAATTTTCTCCCAAATAATTCTTTCATGGTATCGGAGCAATTTTTGAATTCTTGAGACCTCAAACACGCTTTTCTTTCCGCATCTACTATTCCCGATTGACCGGCATTGCGTCCATCGATCGTCGCCTGTTGTTGCTGCTGAAGTGCCGGAACGGTCGACTGTTGCTGAAGAACGGTCGAGTGGGTCGACCGTTCCGACGGCAGTTTCTCTTTGTTAAAAATTCCGGCGGGCCAAAAACAACGGATAGAGTGTCAGATAAAATTAATCACTTGCATATAAAGTCGGGATCCACAATTCTAACCCAAAAGCTTAAGCTGATAGGTAGGGCTTCACCCTTCAATATATGCAAGTGATACTCATCTTTATTTTCCGATGTGGGAACTCCAACACTCCCCCGCAAGTGATAACTAGCTTGGCCTAGTTAGCACTTGGACAAACGGGTCTAGCATCTCAATCTCTTATAGCTAGCCCACACAACTGGCGGTGGCATCTCAATCTCTTTTTAGCCAACTCAGCCCAAACCACATACGGGTAGCTCATTTTTTCTAAACCCACATCTAAACAACGAGGAACAATCAAACCCGGACCGGACCTGCTCTGATACCATGTTAAAAATTCCGGCAGGCCAAGAACAACGGATAGAGTGTCGGGTAAAATTAATCACTTGCATATAAAGTCGGGATCCACAATTCTAACCCAAAAGTTTAAGCTGATAGGTAGGGCTTCACCCTTCAATATATGCAAGTGATACTCATCTTTATTTTTCGATGTGGGAACTCCAACACTCTTGATCGCGGTTACTGTTCACGATCGCCCGACATCGCGTCCATCGGTCGTTGCTTAGTTTCTGTGGTTTGGAGCAGTTCCCAATTTGTACGTGTAGGAATTGCACGTGGGACCTGCTTAAGAAGCTTGCGCAGATGCACGAACTGAGGAAACGTTTCTTGCAGGTTTGGAGCAGTTCCCAATTTGTACGTGTAGGAATTGCACGTGGGACATGCCGGAGAAGCTTGCGCAGATGCGCGAACTGAGGGAACGTTTCTTGCATGTTTGGAGCAGTTCCCAATTTGTACGTGTAGGAATTGCAGGTTTGGAGCAGTTCCCAATTTGTACATGTACAATTTACTCTAATTTTTTTGTAAAAGAAAAATTACAATTTTATGTAACATAGTTATGTTGTTTTTTTGTTTTACGTATCTCATTACACCCAAAAATATTTCTACTTTTATTTTTCTCTGTCTAAGAAAATTCCACTTTTATTTTTCACTCCGTCCCAAAAATGTTTACACTTTCCTCTCGAACATACGAAAACAAAAAGAAAAGTATTCCCCCGTTCTCAAAAAGAGTTCTTATTTTGACCAAAAGTAAAAATAAAAAAGTGTTAAATTGTGGTTAATTTCCAATTTTGCCCTTGATATGATGAGTAAAGTAAGTTGTGATGGATAAATAATTAGAGAAAAAGTATGATGTGATAGGTAGTGTATGAAAAAAGAAAGGGTAAAAATGATTTTTAATAAAAAATGGAAATGTTTTATTGGAAGTGGAAAAAAAGAAAGAAGAAGTCTTTTTGAGAACGTAGGGAATAGTATACACTATTTCTTATGTAAAAATGTTCATGATTTTTATATGCAACTTAGAATGCATATAATTTTTTTCCAAGTACAGTATTTCCTCCACATTTTGATTACAATTTTATTTTCTCTCTCTTCTCGATAAATTTTATTTGTTTGTGTGTTTTTATTGATTATTTGATAAAATAAAATATTCTTGTCACCTCTTATTTTGTAGAATTTTTGATGTAGTTTTTTAACATATACTTTTTATTTTTTATTGATATACTCCGTACCAATTTGTAAATAAAATAATCTAAAAAATTGTGGATTTTATGTCAAAATTCTTATTTTTAATCAAAATAAGGACATGCAGCGTATAAATATACACACATGTTTAGGGGAAACAAATTAACAAATAAAAA